ACCTGAACAAAGCTTTTTAAAAAACCTTGAATGGATGAAATAACAATGCCACAGCAAAACGCAGCATTTTTTTTCATTTTTTATTTTTATTTTATTTTTTTAATGTTTATTCTTTTTTTTAATGGGAAATTTATTGTCAAATTGATTTCCACACAACACCCAGTGCTCATCCCAGTAGGTGCCCTCCTCAATGCCCATCACCACTTTCCCCTCTCTCCCATGCCCCACCAACCCTCAGTTTATTCTCAGTTTTTAAGGGTCTCTTATGGTTTGGTTCCCTCCCTCTCTAACTTTTTTTTTTCCTTCCCCTCCCCCATGGTCTTCTGTTAAGTTTCTCAGGATCCACATAAGAGTGAAACCATATGGTATCTGTCTTTCTCTGTATGGCTTATTTCACTTAGCATCACACTCTCCAGTTCCATCCACGTTGCTACAAAGGGCCATATTTCGTTCTTTCTCATTGCCACGTAGTACTCCATTGTGTATATAAACCACAATTTCTTTATCCATTCATCAGTTGATGGACATTAGGCTCTTTCCATAATTTGGCTATTGTTGAAAGTGCTGCTATAAACATTGGGGTACAAGTGCCCCTATGCATCAGCACTCCTGTATCCCTTGGGTAAATTCCTAGCAGTGCTATTGCTGGGTCATAGGGTAGGTCTATTTTTAATTTTTTGAGGAACCTCCACACTGTTTTCCAGAATGGCTGCACCAGTTTGCATTCCCACCAACAGTGCAAGAGGGTTCCCGTTTTTCCACATCCTCTCCAGCATCTATAGTCTCCTGATTTGTTCATTTTGGCCACTCTGACTGGCGTGAGTTGATACCTGAGTGTGGTTTTGATTTGTATTTCCCTGATGAAGAGCGACGTTGAGAATCTTTTCATGTGCCTGTTGGCCATCCGGATGTCTTCTTTAGAGAAGTGTCTATTCATGTTTTCTGCCCATTTCTTCACTGGATTATTTGTTTTTTGGGTGTGGAGTTTGGTGAGTTCTTTATAGATTTTGGATACTAGCCCTTTGTCTGATTGTCATTTGCAAATATCTTTTCCCATTCCGTTGGTTGCCTTTTAGTTTTGTTGATTGTTTCTTTTGCTATGCAGAAGCTTTTTATCTTCATGAGGTCCTAATAGTTCAAAAAACTCAGCATTCTTTAAAGAAAGACTAAAATCCAGACTCTGCAACATAAAACTTATATTCAGTATTCAATAAAAAATTACTATACATGCAGGAAAAAGCAACTAATAACTAGGAATGCAATTAATTAATAGAAATAAATATAATAGATGATGAAATTAGCAGACACATTCTTTAAAATACTAATTATAAATATTTTGAGAGGAAACATGAAAGTGAGACAAATGAAAGATATGAAAAAAGAACTAAAATGAAACATTTAGATGTAAAAAATGTATCCAAAATGAAGAAAAACAAAACCCAAAAACAATAGTGAGCTTAATAGCTGACTGTACACTAAAATAAAAGATTAATGAACTGGGACACCTTAGTGGCTCAGTTTGTTAAGTGTCCGACTCGATCTCAGCTCAGGTCATGATCTCACAGTTCATGAGTTTGAGCCCTGCATTGGGCTCTGCACTGACAGTGTGGAGCCTGCTTAGGATTCTCTCTCTCTCTCTGCTCCTCCCCTGCTCTCTCTCTCTCTCTCAAAATAAATAAACTTAAAAAGATAACTGAAGATGTAGCAAACAACCACAAACTGTTTACAGAACAAAGAACAAAAGGGCCAAAAGTAAATGAACACATTGACTCTGTGAGTGTGGACAATATCGAGTGATCTAACATAAGTACAGATAGTGTCCCAGAAGGAAGGGGGAATGGAAAATTTTTTGATGATACAGCAGTCAAATATTTTTCAAATTTGAAGAAAATCATATATTCCCAACAGCCTGAAGTCTAGTTAGTTCCCAACAGAGTAAACACCAGGAAAATCATACCAACAGACTTAAATTGTTGAAAATTAATGACAAAAAATTTTTTAAATGTACCCAAGACAAAAAAAAGCATTTTACTTGTAGTGCAATTAATAAGATAAGAATTAATATTGACTTTTCATTAGAAACAATATAAGCTGGAGGGTGATGGAAAAAACATCTGACAGAGTACTGACTAAAGTACTGACAGAAAGAAAAAAAAATCTATAATCAGATTCTATATCTAGTTAAAATATCCTTCAAAAATGAAGGCAAAGTAGGGGCGACTGGGTGTCGCAGTCGGTTAAGCGTCCGACTTCAGCCAGGTCACGATCTCACGGTCCGTGAGTTCGAGCCCCGCGTCAGGCTCTGGGCTGATGTAAAAAAATAAAAAATAAAAAAAAAATAATGAAGGCAAAGTAAAGACATTTTCAGACAAAGCTAAGAAAATGTATCACAATCCAGCACTATCAGAAATGATTAAGGAAGTTATTTTAGACTGAATAAAAATAATGCCAGATAGAAATTTGGTTCTACACAACTGTTCTAATAATCCAATTAAAGACAGATTTTCAGGCTAGATGAAAAAGCAAAGCAAACTTGATGGTGTGCATATAATCACTTTGAATATAAAGACAATGAATATAAAGACAAAAAGTCTTTAGTTGTAAAAAAGCTAAAGTGGTTGTATTAATATCAGACAAAATAAATTTTTTTTCAACGTTTTTATTTTTTTTATTTTTTTTATTTTTGGGACAGAGAGAGACAGAGCATGAACGGGGGAGGGGCAGAGAGAGAGGGAGACACAGAATCAGAAACAGGCTCCAGGCTCTGAGCCATCAGCCCAGAGCCCGACGCGGGGCTCGAACTCACGGACCGCGAGATCGTGACCTGGCTGAAGTCGGACGCTTAACCGACTGCGCCACCCAGGCGCCCCAAGACAAAATAAATTTAAAGTGAAATGATATTACCAAAGAATGTCATCTTATAATAATTAAAGGATCAATTCATTGAGAGGGCATAAAAATCCTAAACCTGTATTCACCTAATAACTGAGTTTCAAAATGCGTGAAACCAAAACTAAGAGAACTGAAAGGAAAATTAAATTAATCTGTAATTGTGGTTGAAGATTTCAACACAATTCAGTAACTGATAAAGGAAATTTATAGAAAATCACTAAGTTTATAGAAGACATGAACAACAATATCATCATGTTTGACCTAAATTGAAATATAGAAAACCACATTTAACAAAAAATACATACTTGTTTTGAGTGCATGGGAAATAGTCATCAAATAGATTTTACGTTGAGCCACAAAAAATTCTAATAAACGTAAAATAACCAAAATCATACAGCATTATTCTCTGACCATAATGAAATAAAATTAAAAAAAAATAAAATTTATCTGTAAATAAATACCTAAATATTTGAAAATTAAACTATACAGTTTTAAATAACCCAGATTCAATGAATAAATAACATAGTGAATTAGAAAACAAATATTGAAATGAAATGAAATGAAATGAAATGATTTTTGAATTAAAGTGAGAGTAACACATTAAAATTTGTAGGGGCAGCTAAAGTGATGCCTACATGGAAATTTATAGCTTTTAAGTGCAAATATTTTTTAAATGATATTAATATCTATTATTATTGATATTTTTAAAAAATAATTTAAAAAATCAATGATCTAAGCTTCTATTTATTTTTTTAATTTTTTTTATTTAAAAAAATTTTTTTATAATTTATTTATTTTTGAGACAGAGAGAGACAGAGCATGAACAGGGGAGGAGCAGAGAGAGAGGGAGACACAGAACCTGAAACAGGCTCCAGGCTCTGAGCTGTCAGCACAGAGCCCGACGCGGGGCTCAAACTCAGGGACCGCGAGATCATGACCTGAGCCGAAGTCGGACGCTTAACCGACCAAGCCACCAAGGCGCCCCTAAGCTTCTATTTAAAAAGGTAAAAAAAATTAAGCCCAACATAAGTAGAAGGAATGAAATAAGGAATCGAATAATGAATCAAAATAATAAGTTTAAAAAAATCAGTTGAACAAAGATCAGTAAAATCGATAAACCCCTTGCTAGGCTGATCAGAAAAAAATGAAGACAAAAATTGCCGAAGAAAGGAATGTAAAAGGAGAAAACTCTATAGAGCTTATATACATTAAAAGAATAAATGGACATATTTCATGGGAAAATGGATTACTTAAAATTGATAAAATTGAAAATGTCTAAGAGATCAGTTGAACAAAATTGACACAGGGAAAAAAAATATATGAAAAATTCTCCTATTAAAAAAAATGAAATTTATTATTTAAAAACTCCCCACCTCTAAAACAAAACAAAAAAAAAAATCACTCCCACGTGGAAGGACTAGTAAATTTAAGCAAATATTAAAAGAAAAATGACATTAATGTTATATAGTTTTGAGGAACCAGTGGGAATGAAATACTTCCGACTCATTTTAGGAGGCCAACATTGTCCTAATACCCTAAAACCAGACAGAGACATTGCAAGGAAACAAAACTACAGATCAATATCCCTCATGAACATAGATGAAAAAATTTTTATCAAAATATTATAAATCTAACCCAGCAAAACATAAAAATAATATATCATTACCAAGAGAGAAAGATTTTTGAGATAACATGCCAAAAGCTCCCATCATAAATGCAAAAAATGTTAAATTTACTTATCAAAATTAAAAACTCTTTAATTTTTAAAATGTTTTTTGTAAATTTTATAGTTTAATAAGTTATTTAATAAAATAAGGAAATAAAGTGACTGGGGCACTGGTTATAAAGTTATTGAGAGAGGGGCGCCTGGGTGGCTCAGTCACTTGAGCATCTGATTCTTGATTTCGGCTCTGGTCATGATCCCATGGTTCTGAGATCAAACCTCGCGTCAGGCCATGTGCTGAGCATGAAACCTGTTTGTGATTCTCTCTCTCCCTCTGCCCCTCTCCCTTACTCATGCTTGCTCTCTAAAATTAAAAAAAAAAGTTAAGATTATTGAGTGAACATGTGGGATTTGAGATATAATTGTTTGAATACATAAATTTCAGGCATCCATGCGGAGATCATCCTGATTCTGTTGACATCCTGAAGTGATGCTCAATGCCAGGAAATCTCTTCAGTCTTTAAATTTATCTGTCAAGGTAAGGCCACACTTCATCCCAAGGTAGGATGCGAAAAACAGCTATATGTCTTAGGACTAACGTAAAATCTCATATTCTTTTGTAAAAATCCTTTAATGATTCTGACTTTCCTACTCCTTTTCTCCTTTTCAGTTTCTTCTTAATTATCAGCTGTTGTTGGTTTACAGTGCTCATCCAGTTTATCCTTGCTGAATTGTTTTTCATTGCTTGATGCTATAGAGGTGCTGAAAGATCCCATAGTGATAACTGCCTTTCTTTTTTTCTTCCATGCTTCCCACTCAGGATTGTTTTATTATCCATTCCCTACGTGTAAATCTGTATTATATAGTTTTTATTCTGACACAGGTACAGCCTTAGTTCCTTTTGGAGTGGATTTAATAAATGTTATTGTTATCACTTTAGGTTTTAAAACAGTATCTTTGTTTTATTTTTCCCAAGTATTGAGATATAATTGACATACAATATTGTATAAATTTAAGGTGTACAGCATGGTTTGATTTACATATTTGTGAAGAGATTACCACGATGAGTTTAATGTTTATCACCTCATATAGATACAAAAAAAATGAAAAAGAAAATGTTTTATTCTGTGTGATGAGAACTCCTAGAATTTATTCTCTTAACAACTTCCAAACATACCATACAGTAGTGTTAACTATAGTCATCATGTACATTGCATCTGTAGTACTATTTATCTTATAATTGAAAGTTTGTAACTTTTGATCACCTTCATCAGATTCCACCCTCCTCCACCGACTGCCTGTGGTAACCACACATCTGATCTTTTTTTTTTTTTTATGAGTCTGGAGGGTTTTTTTGTTTGTTTGTTTGTTTTGGTTTTGGTTTTTTAATTTTTTTTTTTAACGTGTATTTATTTTTGAGACGGAGAGAGACAGAGCATGAGCCGGGGAGGGGCAGAGAGAGAGGGAGACACAGAATCGGAAGCAGCCTCCAGGCTCTGAGCCATCAGCCCAGAGCCCGACGCGGGGCTCGAACTCACGGACCGTGAGATCATGACCTGAGCTGAAGTCGGACACTTAACCGACTGAGCCACCCAGGCGCCCCTAATTTTTTTTCAATGTTTATTTTTGAGAGAGAGAGAGAGGGTGTGTGTGTGTGTGTGTGTGTGTGTGTGTGTGTGTGTGTATGTGTGTGAGCAGGGGAAGGACAGAGAGAGAGTGAGACACAGAATCTGAAGCAGGCTCGAACTCATGAACCACAAGATCATGACATGAGCCGAAGTCAGACACTTAACTGACTGAATCACTCAGGCACCCTATTTGTTTTGTTTTTTGTTTCTTTAGATTCCACATATAAGTGAGATCATACAGTATTTGTCTTTATTTCACTTAACATAATGTCCTCAAGGTCGATTGGTGTTTTCCCAAATGGCAAGATTTTGTTCTTTTTTATTTGAATAATATTCCATTGTATATGTGTGTGTGTATGTGTTTATATGTATGCATGTATGTATGTATATAGTACAACTTTTTAAAAAAAAACTTTATTCTTTATTTTTTTTTAATTTACATCCAAATTCGCATATAGTGCAACAATGATTTCAGGAGTAGATTCCTTAGTGCCCCTTACCCATTTAGCCCATCCCCTCTCCCACAACCCTTCCAGTAACCCTCAGTTTGTTCTCCATATTTATGAGTCTCTTCTGTTTTGTCCCCCTCCCTGTTTTTATATTATTTTTGTTTCCCTTCCCTTATGTTCATCTGTTTTGTCTCTTAAAGTCCTCATATGAGTGAAGTCATATGATTTTTGTCTTTCTCTAACTTCACTTAGCATAATACCCTCCAGTTCCATCCATGTAGTTGCAATATATCACAACTTTTCTATCTATTCATCCATGTATGGAGACTTAGGTTGTTTCCATGTCTTAGCTATTGTAAATAATGTTATCATTAATTAGCATAGGGGTGCAGATTATCTTTTTCACATAGTGTTTTCATTTCCTTCAGATATATGGTAGTTCTAATTTTAAGTTTTGGAGGAACCTCCTTACTGTTTTCCATAGTAGCTGTACCAATTTACCATCCTACCAACCATGCACAAGTGTTTCCTTTTCTCCACATCCTTATGAGCATTTGTTATCTCTTATCTCTTTTATTATGGCCATTCTAACAGATGTGAGGTGATATTGTGGTTTTAATTTGCATTTCCCTGATGATTAGTGATGTTGAACACCTTTTCATGTACTTGTTGGTCATTTGTATATCTTCTTTGGAAAAAGTCTATTCGATCCTTTGCCCATTTTTCTTAATTGTATTATTTGGGGGGCTCTGCTATTGAGTTGTATGAATTGTTTTTTTATATTTTTGGATATTAGCTCCTTATCAGATATATAGTTTACAAGTATTTTTTTCCTATTTTGAAGTTTGCAAGTATTTTCCCCCATTTTCACTTTAGTCAATTTTTTTGTTGTTTTTGTTTTTGTTTTCTGTGTAGAGCTTGTTAGTATGATGTAGACTCACTTCTTTATTCTTGACTTTGTTAATTGTGCTTTAGGTAGGTGTCATATTAAAAAAATTGCCAAGACCATTTCAAACTTTGTTTCTGTGTTTTCTTCTAGGAGTTATTTGACTTCCAACCTTAATACTTAAGTCTAATCCATTTTGAGTTCATTTTCGTGAGAGGTATAAAACAGGTGTTTAGTTTAATTATTTTATATGGGAATATCTACAATTTTTCCAGCACCATTTATTGAATAGACTGTCTTTTGTCCATTGACTATTCTTGGCCCTCTTGTCAAATATTTGTTGGCTATATAAGCATGGGTTTGTTTCTGGTTCTTGATTCTGCTCCATTGGTCAATATGTTTTAATGCCAGTATCATATTATTTTGATTACCATACTTTTATAATATAGCTTGAAATCAGGAAGGGTGTGATGCCTCCTACTTTGTTCTTTTCTCAAGATAACTTCTCTTTTAAATAGCCCATTAAGAAAATGAAAAAGCAACCCATAGATTGGGAAAAAAATTATGTACATATATCTATTAAATTATATATGTATATAATTATATAATTTACGTAATATATAATATATTTATATTGTAATTATATTTTATAAAAATCATATGTAAATAATATGTAAGTGGTAAATAAATACTGAAAAAATGTTCATTATCAATACCCATCAGAAAAATGCAAACTGAAAGTCAAAAGAACAAATGACTGTATACCCTTAATATGGCCAAGATGAAAAGGATTAGAAATACCAAGTATGGGTAAGGATGTGAAACAACAGAAACTCAAACAATGCTGGTGGGATTGAAAAATTATATAACACTTTAGAAAATGAATTAGCAGTTTGGCAACATCTTATTTTAGAAGGAATTTACACAAATAAGTCAATGTCAAGAAATAACACAACAATTTACCTTTTTCCAAAAATGAAGAGAAAATTATATAGAAATTCATCCCAGAAACAATCAGTGCTAGAAGGCTATGAAACAGTATTTACATTTCCTCAGGAAAAGTAAGAACATCCTAAGAATTTGATACTAAACCAATTGTTGCACAAGTTTAAGCTAACAGATGTTTCAAACCTATAAAAATTAGAGGATATATTATATTGCTTTTAGAAAGGAAACCACTTAAATTATTATAAAGAAAATAAAGAATCCTAAAATTAAACCAAAGAAAAACCAAAAACTTGTAGTAAACATTTAAAAAGTAAAAGAAGAAAACATAAAATAATTTGACAGAACTAAGTCAAATATATCTCTCAGATCTATAAATTTATATGGAATAAACTTACCTAGTAAAGAAAACTCTTAGATTGAATCACAGTGCAAAACCCAAGTATAAATTGTAGATTAATGAGATCCAATCTAATCCAGAAAGGTTAAAAATTAATAGTTGGGTATAGACATAGCTGCAAGTGCCCACAAAATGAAAATAGGGGATATTTGTGCATGTTTCCCCCCTAGTTGTATTAAGAAATAATTGACATATATCACTGTATAAGTTTAAGGTGTACAGCATGATGGTTTGATTTACATGTTATAAAATTATTGCCACAGTAGTTAACATCCACCATCTCATATATATACAAGAAAAAGAAAAAGAAAAAAACAATGTCTCCTTGTGATGAGAACTCCTAGATTCTACTCTCTTAACAACTTTCCTACATACCATACAGCAGTGTTAACTATAGTCATTATGCTGTATATTACATCCATATTATTACTTTATATGGTAAAGATAAATATAAGATATAAGGTAAATATAAGATAACTAGAAGTTTGTACCTTTTTGACCACCTTCTTCCAATTCCCCTCTCCTCACCCCTGTCTCTGGTATCCACCATTATGATCTCTTCTATGAATTTGGTGTTCTTTGTTTTTAGATTCCACATATAAGTGAGATAATACGGTATTTGTCTTTGTCTGACTTACCTCTCTTAATATAGTGCATTTAGGTCCATTTATGTTGTTGCAGATGGCACGATTTCCTCTTTTTTATGGCTGAATAATATTCCATTGTATATATACACCACAACTTCTTTATCCATTCATCTATCAATGGACACTTAGGTTTGTTTCTATGTCTTGGCTGTTGTCACTAATGCTGCTTTGAATAAGGGGAAATAGATGTTTTTTCAACTTATGTGTATGTTTATATGTATCAGTTTTTTCACACTAATTCCTAGATGCTTATCAATTCCATTTCCTCTTCCACATGGGGTCACTATCTTTCCCAGCCCAGACTGCAATATGGATATGGTCTTGTGACAGGATTCTAGCCAAAGTAACTTGATGGACAAGATACACCCACTTCCAGGCCTGATAATAAAATGTTTCATGCAGTCTTATCACTTTTTCTTAAGTCGAAAGACTTAACATAAAATCTGAGGGGGCTATAGAAGATGGCCTGAACTAAGTTGCTCTTTTCAAAATATCAATATATAGTTGATAGATTATACTTATTCCTCTAGAGAGTATGGCCCTGCACAGCAGAAGGTGACATCTTGAGTGGTGATTTCCTCATTCCAGGGCCCATGTCTACTTAAATACCAACTACCAGACATCCTGAAGCTTCAGGTGAGAGGTAATGTTGAAATATTCCTGGGTAAGGCAATAATAAAATCCATTTTCATTAACCTATTTTATTTCATGTAGAGGTTATGAATCATCAAAGCCTTGTACAACTATTAATATTTTCAGGTCAGTCCAACCATTTAATGAGAATGATCTCATTCCTATCACATCCCTTTGTCTAGATAATTTCTTTTTCTGTACTGTGTACTAACTCTTGACATAAGATTATGATTTGGGGTCCTTCTGGCAGCTGATCTTTTAACTATAAACTAGTTGCCAACTTTTAGTTACCACTTTCATCAGTAAATATATCTTGTTACTATCTCCTGGAACCACTTTTGAAATCTCCCCTTTAACCCATCTGCAATTCCATGATTTTCTTGCACACAAAGTGGAATTTTCTGGTTGTTCTCTTCAAGATCTAAAGAATTTCTGGCTATGACATAGATATTTTTTGCAGATTATCTGGTGATTATAACTAGTGATAAAGTGTTGAATTGTATCAATGTATTAAAATGTATTTGAGCAGTAAAATAACACATTTTAGATTTCAAAGTCCTGTTGAACTTCTAAAATCTCAGCCTTACCCAATCACTGTTGACAAAATGATGGATGTTATACTCCTTTAAATGTTTCCTTATGAGATAATTTAAATTCCCCCTGCTTCCCCTCCCCTATCTGTCTGTAGCATTGTACTTCCTTGGCTGAAATCAAATATTACTTTAGAAGTTTGGGCAACATAATGGCCTCCCTTGTCTTTTAGACCCTTGATTGTGGTGAAGTTTAAAAGTACATCAATGAATGTTAATTCATCCTCTGTTACACTTATAAAACTGGCTCATATTCTCCAAGTCTACTTGCCAATGTTATTCCCATGTCTAAAATACCCTATTGTTCTCCGAAAGTGAAAATAAAAAGGTGCTTTATTATGAAGAGCATAAACATTTTTTTCACTTAAAGATTGTGACAATTATCCTTCTTGTTTCTCCTTAACTGCTTCTGAAAAACAGGAGACACAGTCCATTAGCTAATAGTTCCTAGAAAATAGTAAATCCCTAAACAAATACTGGGCCTTGTTAAATGCAGAGGATTTATTAAAATAGTAGTTGTATTACTTTTCTCAAGCTTAGGTGGCTTAAAAAAAGGACGCCAAAATCTATTGTCTCAAGTTCTGGAGGCTAAAAGTCTAAAATCAGGTGTCTACAGGCCTATGCTCCTCTGAGGCCTGTAGGGCAATACTCCCTATTACATCATTCTAGCTTTTGGTAGTTTGCCAACAAATTTTGGCATTCTTTGACTTGTAGATGCATTACTCTGTCTTCACGTGGTATTCTCCCTGTGTCTCCTAGAAGCATTCTTCCTTTTGAAACTCAAATATCTGGACCAACAGAGTGTAAGGTTGTGGGTACAGAAAGGAAAAAAAAAAATATTGTTGGTGGACACTAAGAGTAACAATGAGTGATGTCACTCCCATATCATCCAGGAGGCTATTTATGTTTACATTAGCATCCAGTATATAGTGTTGGTTCTCCCATAACCAAGATTCACAGGTCCAGGAATCAAGGGTAGAACTAGGGAAATGGTAGTGAATCCTATTACTATTTAATACAACTCTTTTCTGTACTCCAAAGGCTGACTGATAATGGTGTTTTACTGGTTGGTTAAAATTCACTGTCTAAAAGAAGAAAAAAAACTTTCAGCAGTAAATAGTTACTAATATAAGTGCATAATTATATATTGCTTACCCTGTAATTTTTTTAATTTTTAAATTTTATTTAAATCCAAGTTAGTTAACATACAGTGTAATAAAGATTTCAGGAGTAGAATTCAGTGATTCATCACTTACATATAACACCCAGGGCTCATCCCAACAAGTGCCCTCCTTAATCACTCATTTAGTCCATCCACCCCCATCCAACATCGCTCCAGCAACCCTCAGTTTGTTCTATGTATTTAAGAGTCTCTTATGGTTTGCCTCCCTCTCTGTATTTTTTTTTAATTTTTTTAAATGTTTGTTTATCTTTGAGAGAGAGGCAGAGCGCGAGTGTGGAAGGGGCAGAGAGAGAGGGAGACACAGAATCTGAAGCAGGCCCCAGGCTCCGAGCTGTCAGCACAGAGCCCTACCAGGGCCAAACTCAAAAACTGGGAGATCATGCCCTAAGCCAAAGTCGGATGCTTAATTGACTGAGCCACAGAGGCGCCCCTGCCTCCATCTCTGTTTTTGTCTTATTTTTACTTTCCTTCCCTGTGCTCATCTGTTTTGTTTCTAAAATTCCACATATGAGGGAAATCGTATGATATTTGTTTCTCTGACTTATTTCACTTAGCAGAATGTACTCTAGTTCCATCCATGTTGTTGCAAATGTCAAGATTTCATTCTTTTTGATTGCCAAGTAATAATTCCATTGTGTGTGTGTGTGTGTGTGTGTGTGTGTGTGTGTGTGTATACCATGTCTTTATCCATTTGTCAGTTGTTGGACATCTGGGCTCCTTCCATAATTTGGCTATTGTTGACACTACTGTATACTGTAAATTTTAGAGGAGAGTTGAGTTGCTGTTTATTTGCACTTTATCTGAATGCTTTATAGTTCTCTTTTTTTTCCATCTGTCAGTGGTTACTCCTTATTCTTAACATGTCACATATCTCATTTATCTTCATCAAAGACAGAGAGAAAAGGATAAACCCAATCACCTTAATAGCTCAAGAAAAAATAAATATCACCAGAGAAACAAGTCAAAAAAATAATAAAGAGACAAGAATTTTGACTCTATGTTCTTGAGGTTGAAATACTTTTTCACTAGTTTATTGTAGTGAGGTTAACATCATTGCCATTTGCTTTGAATTCTTGAGTACAGGATATATATTTACCAATAGAAGAGTATGTGGACACTATGCCATGACTTATTTACCTCTCATTGGAGTGTAATTTTATTTATGAAATAAATTTATGAAATAAATTTACATATATTATTTATACAAAAGACCTTTGAAGTAGATTTAAAGCTTTTTTACCAATAAGAAAACTAAGGTTCAAGGCAGTTAAACAGTTTGTGTTCAACGATATAACTGGTTTAGTGGCAATATGAAGCTCCAAATCTTTTTTTTTTTTCCTAGTACAACTCAGGTTTGAAAAAACTTTACAAATGGAATACTCTAGCAAATATTGAAATAGAGATTATTTAATGTATTAAAATTCTCCTTTTAACCTTTTGAAACTAATGCTACTTGTATTAACTTCATTCTAAAAAATACAGTAGATTAAAAATCTACTTTTCATTCATCATTTACCTTCATTCTTTTTACATTGATTTTCTTATTTTTGAGAGAGAGAGAGAGAAAGGGGCAGAGAGAGTGGGACAGAGATTCCCAAGCAGGCTTTGTTGTACAGAACCTGATCAGGATTCAAACTCATGAACCATGAGGTCATGACCTGAGCTGAAATCAAGAGTCGGTCACTGAACTGAATGAGTCACCCAGGTTCCCCTCATTCATCATTTACCTTTAAAAAATACTTCTGGATTGTTTTAATATTAAATTATATGATAGAACAATTTTAAAAAATCTTTTAATTTTATCTAAATCCAAATTAGTTAACATATAGTGTAATAATGGGTTCAGGAATGGACTTTAACAATTCATCACTTACATATAACCCACAGTGCTCATCCCAACATTAAGGAATGTTCATCTCCCATTCAACCCATCCCCCCACCAAACACCACTCCAGCAACCCTGTTTGTTCTCTGTATTTAAGAGTCTCTTATGGTTCGCCTCCCTCTGTTTTTATCTTATTCTTCCTTCCCTTCCCTTCCCTTATGTCCATCTGTTTTGTTTCTAAAATTCCACATATGAGTGAAATCACATGATATTTGTCTTTTCTCTGACTTATTTCACTTAGCATAATATACTCTAGTTCCATCCACATTGTTGGAAATGGCAAGATTTCATTCTTTTTGATTGCTGAGAAGTATTCCATTGTATATATATATATATATATATATATATATATACCACATCTTCTTTTTCCATTCATCAGTCGATGGACATTTGGGCTCTTTCCATAATTTGCCTATTGTTGATAGTGCTACTATAAACATTGGGGTTCATGTGCCCCTTTGAATCCATTTTTGTATCCTTTGGATAAATACCTAGGTGTGATTGCTGCATCATAGGGTAGTGCTATTTTTAATTTTTTGAGGAACCTCCATACTACTTTCCAGGGTGGCTATACCATTTTGCATTCCCACCAACAGTGCAAAAGTGTTCCCCTTTCTCTGCATCCTTGCCGACATATGATTAAACAATTTTAAGAATAAAAGTTACAGCTGAAAATTATTTCTTTTTTTAAATGTTTGTTTATTTAATTTGAGAGAAAGTTTGTGCACACAAGTGAGTGGGAGAGGGCAGAGAGAGACAGACAGAATCCCAAGCAGGCTCCACACTCAGCATGGAGCTGAACACAGGGCTCGATTTCATGATTGTGAGATTGTGACCTGAGCCAAAATCAAGAGTTGGACACTTAACTGACTGATCCCCCAGGAGCCCTGAAAATTATTTCTTGATCATGAGAAGTTCTTTTTAGCCATAGCCTAAAAAGACCTCATGCATCATCAAAATAATTTTCATAATTATTTCGTGTATCAATCCTAATGACATTTAAAAAGTTGTAGGGGCAATATTTCCTTTTATATATGTTTTCTGTAGTAAAGGATTATAATTCATCAGTGCCAGTGTTTAGGTCATAGGTAGAACTCCCAAAGGAAGTAATTCATTTTGAAAGGAAATGACTGCCCCACTTTGTTTAAACCAGTCCAATGTATTAAACTTAATAGAGGAAAAAAGTACATCTTTATATATAGATGATAATCTAAATTTATATCTGCAGCTCTGAGATCCGGATATACATATCTACCATAATGACCCTATCCACTGGGATAATGATTATGCACCTCAAACTTAACCTGGTCCTTCCAGAACTCTTGTGTCAGTCCTTTATCTCCGTCTTAGTA